TTCTTCCATCATCTCTAATTATAAGATTACCGGAGTTTGTTAACTGGAGAACATGACTGAAACTACTCGTGATGGATAAGTTATTGGTTGACCAAACTTTAGCCAATGAGTGATTATAAAGGATTAGAGCTCTATTTTCGTGTACAACTACCTTTCTAGGTAAATCGCGAACAAGGTTGTTTCTATTAGCCACCCAGAACACTGTGAGAGGCAGATTATGATACCAAATTCCAAGATATCGAGAACCAGAAGAACCATTACCAGGAGTCAATATGTGAGCAGGAAAAGAAACACAAATTGAAAACAGAAAACTCCTTTGGTGCGAAATCATGTTGGAGATGGAGGGAATCAGAAGGAACAACCTTGCTTGAGACATAATTTGTGAAGGAGAGAAAGTGACTGCCGATCTAAGGGAGCAAACAAGCTGCGATGGCAGCTCTGGCAAGTTTCTCGGTTGTAACTGCTCGACAGGAGCAGGAGAGATTCAAAGGGAAAAAGAACTTGGTCTAACACAATTAGTAGTATCGAGTGAGTGGATGGGGACTACCCCGACAACTCTCGACTTCTTCTCTTTTGGTTCTGGCTTTATGTACAAAGGGGAGGAGGATGGTTGGCCTGATGGAACAAGGCAAGCAAAAGTAACAACATAGGTGGGTGTTTGGTTGTTGAGTCTGCAAAAGATAGTGAAAACGAGAGGGATGCAAGGGTCTGTTAGTCATCGAGGAGAGAGATTCAATGTTGTGGGACCTTATAACTTTTTTACTTAATTAAAATATAAAAATAAGTGAGCTGGTATAGGGGTAACCGGGTTACCCCTTCGTTTTCTCAAAAAGGACGTATTGGACCAGACAAAACCAAATTTGTTCCCTTAAAAAGCAATTTAAAAAGTTAAGTGACTATAAGAGTAAACCCTAAAAACTTCATAAGGCGTATGTGTCATTTTCCCCATTTTAAAACATTTGGGATGTTATCGTCAATACAGAAACATAAGCATAAATAGAACTTACATTCATTATCACTAGTGATTTATATCTCCTTAATCTCTCAGTGTAATGTAACTTCATATCAACACCTGTGATATAAATAAACTGTGTGGGTCAGGTTGGGAAACCTGGTGAGTACATAGGGTTTTTAACCCCACAATAATATAATTGTTATGTTTAATCATCAAACACTTAACCCAATTACCCATCCCCATTATCTTCTTTATTCTTAAGGATCTACCCTTAGAATCAGCTGTTTCTCATTCATTTATTCCTAAGGATTATCCTTAGGAATAGGTACGAAGTCCATCATTGTCAATGACACAGCTGTCAAGCATAGATGCTAGTTCTATCACTTAGGCGCATCTGCTAGAATTGTGACATTCTCTATGAGGCGCATCTGCCAGTATTGTCAATTAGGTGCGACTGCCATGGTTATCTCATTTATTGACATTATTGTTTTCGAGAGTCCACTCGCAATGCAGGTCAGTGAGTTTTTAGAGTACACCAGTGAACACATCGTTCACAACACCTACAGGTTACGAGCCTGCTAGCGTTCCACTGGACTATTTAGAATAATCCGTGGTTGTCATCCATACTCTGGTGGATGATGGGGCCAACATTTGGGAAAAAGGCTTCTCACATCATCCACCTCTCACCCGTATCTCATGGTCTATATCACCTCTCAACTCATCATCCAAAGTTTTACCCAACATATTATGTAGATATAAATACATATATAGTTTAAATCATATAAAACTTGTATAAAATCGTTCATCCAGCATAGATAGCAATTATACAGATAATATGCACACATAGAACGTAGTTTATATAAAATACTTCATATATATGTGTAAGATTAAAGGGACAATGCACTCACTTGAGAAGGTGGTGACTCGACACTCAGACAACACTTCGTTACTCTTAACACAATTTTCCTCGGGAAAAACTTAGTATCATTACCACTAGAGTTTAGTCTAATATTCACTGAGACTAATTAATAGTCTAGCTATTATTACTATTATATAAACGTTAAATGATACTTATATAACCCATAATAATAGCCCAAGTACTTATTATAAGTTCATAATAACATTACTATATTAGAACATAAGTTATCCTAAAGATAGGTTAGGCGTAACTCACTTACAACAAGTTTTCTCGAAAACCGGGCTTCGATGGAGCAACATTCATGAGCCGAAAGGCCCTTTTTCTCGGATCTCTAGGAGCCTTCCTTCGGGTGCTAGGGGGTTTACCTAGACTTTAGGGGGCTTAAGGGGGAACTAGAGAGAAGTTTTAGAGATAGAAAGTAGAATAGGATGGTGTGAGGAATTGGTTTCACCGGACACCTCTATTTATAGGGGGATGGAGGCCATTTCACGTAGTGAAACATAAATTCATGTCCTGACCCGTTGGAGACAGCCAGACACTGCCTGGTGCTGACACGTGGCATCGCACAGACGGTGGAAATGAACTAATTTTCAAAAATTCACAACTTTCGCATACGAGCTCTGTTTTCGACATTTTTTTTCCACGCGTAGGTAAAAACAAGATCTACAACTTTCATTTAGACTCCGTCGGCTATTTCTTGACCGATCTTAAATTTAACAGTAGGAGGAGATTAGACTGTTAAATGATTGCAAAGAAGTTGTAGGTCCTTCATACGGATTCCGTTTTCGTCTGTCTTTTTATCGTTGAGTTCATATTAATGAGATCTTCAACTCTCATTTAGGCCGCATAGGACAAAAACCGCTCAAACTAAAATTCGGGTTTCGGGCCTTGCACTGCTATGCTAAATCTTAGAAAAATCATAACTTCCTCATACGAAGTCAGATTTGGGCGTTCTTTTTATGGACGCTCTCTGTTTAATGTATACTACAAATTTTGCTTAGATTACTAAGGCTAAAAAGTCCTTTATCGTAAATTCACTATTTACGCTTTCCGGTGTCGTGCTAATTTTGCAGTGAAACTTCAACGGGCCATAATTTATTCGTTATAACTCGGATTTCGGCGTTCTTTATATGTGTTGAACCCTTGTAGCATATACTAAAACTTTTTTAAGATTACTCGTTCTAAATAATCTTCAATCAAAAACTCATTTTCTCTAAATTAACTAGCCCAGATCTACGGGCGTTACAGTATGGTCACATGTGAATATGTTTTTATACGTTATTCACATATGAATCTTACATAATATCACCATGTTTGAGGCATAAATTATATAATCATATATAAATCTCACATATGAATCATACATTATATAATCATACATAAATCTCACATATGAAGCAGATCCATAAGTGTGTAGTAATTAATTGGCCAATGAAAATAATCAATTACAAATCATATGTGATTTATGTGAATTGGCTTAATATTTTAGTAAGTAATTGAAAGCAATATTGTAAGTGTGTAGTGATTCACATGTAAATCACAAGTAAATCACATATAAATTACATTGTGATTCACATATAAATCACAAGTAATTCACATGTAAATCACAAATGAATTACATATAAATTATATGTGATTCACATATAAAAGCACATGTAATTCACATGAGTCACAAGTAATTCATATGTAAATCGCAAATTAATCACATATGAATTACATATGATTCATATGTAAATCACAAGCGAATCAAATATGAGTTACGTCTATATACACACATGTATTTTGTGTGAGTGTTCTTTGTTAATTTTTTTTTTTTAATTTTCTATTGAATTTAAGATTTCAATTTTAAAAGTTACAATCACATCTTAATACCACAATATATAATCACATGTGAATCTTACTTGATATAATCACATGTGAATCTTACATTATATATAAATATGCATTTTGTAAGTGTTCTTGCATTAATCATTTTTTTTTTTTTAGATTTGGAAGAATTTGAAAATATTGAAGATGTGAAAAGTGATAAACTGAAGAAAATATGAAAATCTTGACACAAAGAGATGAATAACACTTTGAATCCTTGTAGTATTTTTATTTTTTATATTTTATTTTGTATCGAATAAAATACTTATACTAGTGTGTTTATAGATTAATAAATAAAAATGAGTTTTTTTTTTAATGATTTACTTATAAATATTATAGTATAAGAAATATTCATATATGTAATTGAAAAAAATGTATATATATTCACCTAAAACGTTGATTTTTTTGGTTAAAAATTATAGTTTTTTTTTTTATTTTTAATATTCAATTTTTTTATTTTTTTTACTATTTTTTAAAAAAGTTGCATCTTTTTAGAAAATTATTTTTTTTTCAAATTTTTTAAAAAGAAATCATATTTTCTACAAAAATTTAAAAAATATGCAATTTTTTAAAAAAATCAAAAATTATTTAAAAAAAAATCGAAGTTTGATTTATTATGTTAATTTTTGCATATTTTATTATTAATATTTTCAATAACACAAAAAATTAAACATTAAATTAGATTTGCTAAGATGACGATTATACCCTTAATGAGTTAGTTTTGATCTAACGCTCCACCTTTAATTCTCGGGTTCTCGGAAAACTATGAGTTTTAACGAATATCATCACACACACCCACACCCACACACACATGTGTATATATATATATATATATATATATATATATATATATATATATATATATATATATATATATATATATATACACACACACACTATGAGAATGTGATTTCCAGTAATGTCACATAATCATGTAATGTTAAAATATCATATTATCAAAAACTGACATGTGAGCGTTTCACGTCAACAGAACAGATAATCCAATTAACCGGTTAAGTTATCAATATAACAAATTAGTAAACAAGTGTCTAATTTGAGACTAATAAAAATGTAATGTCAAATGGAATTTTCATGTGAACTTTATATCACTTTTTGAGAATTTGAGTTTTGCAATATATTGATAATTATACACAACACTAATTAGCAAAATTTTAGCATTGCCAATTATTTGTATTTATGAAATACAACAATATTCGACCACATTCACGAATTTACAAATAATTATACACATAAGATTCATTAGTGTGGCGAAAGAGCACCATAACTTCGCACTAGAGGAGCAGGAGTAGCCCAGTGAACGTTGGAGGCCTCCAACTGTTTACCAGAATACCCTTTGGAGCAAGGTATATATGTCAGAAATTTTTTATCGGTGCAAGAAGGTTGAAGATTCGAGAAGAAACGATCACAGTCGGCTTTCGATCTTTGATTCGGGAGATACGAAATGCAGTTCATCTTCACATCAAGAACCCCACTTGTTATCAGCTTCCGACACTTTGGCCCAACCTGACTGATATAATTATACGATACAGTGAAATTCACTAGATTTGGTAGGCTGCACACAGATTCCGGCACAATCCGGTAGAACTTATTGTGAGCCAAGTTCAGAAGCTCCATTTTCTCCAAGCACTGAAGCGAGCTTGGGATTAGACCCGTTAACTGGTTGAATCCAACGTCGAGCACCGTGGATTTTCTCAAAAGTCCGATCTCATACGGCAAACAACCGGTTAACTGGTTGTTCAAGAAAAGAACCTCGAGTAGGGTGTTGGAAGCTTGACCAATACTCCGAGGGATTCCACCGACGAATTTGTTGTTAGCTAGGCTTAAGTAAAGCGCTGTGGTCGACCCAAGGTTTCCGGGGAGTGTTTGCTTGAAGTTGTTGTTGTTGATGAAGAGCAAGTCGAGGCCGAGAAGGAAGACTTGTGGAGGAACAACGCCAAAAAAGGTGTTGAACCTGAGGTCGAGGAATACTAACTTCTTGGCTTGGAGGACTTGGTAGGGGAAGTTGCCGGAGAATTTGTTGTTACTGAGGTCAAGTTCGTATAAGTAGCGGAGTGTGCCGATATCTTCGGGGATGGAGCCGATGAAGTTATTGGAATTTGCATGGAAAAATGCGAGATCTTTCAAACCGCTTAAGAATTCAGTGAGGGTTAGATTTGGGCCATTCAAATTCCTGTTATTGAAGTTGACACCGGAGATGGTCTTTTGGTTAACATCTGGTACGATGTCGCAAATGAACCCTTTGTAATCACCGCAAATATTGTTGCCCTCCCATGTTTTCGTTATGCCTGTGGGATCAATTGTCACTTTCTTTTTGAAGGCTTGGATTACGTCATAATATCGTCGAAGTAGCTCGCTCTCAAAACCACCGAAAGTACCTGCTGGTGATGGTCCATGTGGTGGTTTTGGTGATGGTGGATGTGTTAATGTTGGCGATGGTTGTGTACTTGGTGTTGGTAGACATGGAGGGGGAGGTGGAGGTGGAGGAGGACAGTCTTGATATTCCGGCCGTGGCCATGGAGACGCAGCACCACCACCTATGATTATCTCAAGTGTTTCTCTAGGAGTAACAGCTTCGCCATTAATAGCAAAGAGATGAGAAATGCAAATCAAGAGTAGAATTGTATGAAGGCCGCACATCTCTGATCCGAAGAAGTTCGGTGAAATTAAAAAAGATAACGGATTTTGATTAAATAATAGAGTCATGGGCATCATAATGGTGTAAACTTGTCTATTTCCTCATTTTGTTTCCCGAAATGTATAACCTAGCAAACAAACAGCATTTACAATTTAATTTGAAAGTTCACGAATGAAGCTCACTACTAGAAAACATCCGGTTTTTTTTTTTTTTTACGGAAAATAGCTACAGAAATTTTTGGTAGTTAATTAACTATGGATAATCTACCAATAATTTTTTTTAAGAGTTGAATTATTTGTTCATTGTTGATTAATTTTTTTTAAGTTGATGGTCACTCTACTAATTCTTTTTTAAGTTGATGATGACTCTACGGATATTCGTCTTGCCCACATTCCCCATAGAGGTGATATAGTGATATTAGTATCGATAGTGGTTTAAAAACGCTATATTGGCAGTTTTGCATAAGATGAAACCATTAATCCTATTGTAATTTAATTATTGTTGTATAGATCTAATAGAGCAAAAATTTTTGAGCGAATTGATGAAGTTAAATCTCCCTCTCTCTCTCTCTCTCTCTATATATATATATATATATATATATATATATATATATATATATATATATATATATATATATATATATATATATATATATATATATATATATATATATATATATATATATATATATATATATATATATATAGGTTCAGGTTTATTTGAGACCATTCTAATTTTGTGAAACCGTGAGACCAAATCTAAAAATAATTTTAAAATGCAAAATAAATGAAAAATAAAAAAAAATTTTAATATTATTTTCGGAACTTGAATTAACTAAAAAAATAATAAAATAAAAAAAAAATAAAAAAAAATCCCGTTTTTTTTTTTTTTTTTCTGAAAAATACATGAAATATTCTAAATAGAATATTATACTAACATATTCTAAAAAATAATTTTAAAATGCAAAATAAATGGAAAAATCTAAAAAAAAAAATTTTAAATATTATTTTCGGAAGTTGAATTAATTAAAAAAAATAATAAAAATACTATTTTTTTTTAAAATACGTGAAATATTTTAAATATAATATTACACTGTACATATTCTAAAAACAATTTGAAAATGCAAAATAAATGGAAAAATCAAAAAATTCTTTTTTTAAATATTATTTTCGGAACTTGAATTAACTAAAAAAAATAAAAAAAATAAAAAAATAAAAAAAATGCGTCTCACGGTCTCACAAAATTAGACCGTCTCACATGAACCTAACCTATATATATATATATATATATATATATATATATATATATATATATATATATATATATATATATATATATATATATATATATATATATATATATATATATGATGGTGATTGGTGAGTCAATAAGGATGCACACATGTGGGCTGCGGCTTGTGATGATATGTTTCATCTAGCTATCAAGATTGACCATGATTTTAAATATCTATACTTTTGAGAATTACCAACCATCCCCTATAATATAACAAAGAATATAACTTGTTGCTGATGTGTTTAGAACTTGAGTTCTTGATGGTCGTGCATTGAATAAAGAAACACGAATATGGTTTTCATGTTGGATGTCTGACTACTAAAATGTGGTATAAATTAATTAATACAAGTGGGCATAGATTGACATCGGTCTTTGCAAAGAAGGATGCCTAAATCCAAATGGCTCGTGTAACACGACCTCTGCTTCATAAAATTCTTAAATTTAAAGGCGTACAGAAAGTGTGAAGGCCATGCCTTAATGCATACAGCCCATCTGATCTGTACAAAGAAATTTGGTCCTAAAAACTTAACTTTTCTGTTTGTGGCCTAATGGTGTACTCGGGCTGGTTTGGCAAGTAATTGCCTAGCCGAGTTTCCCATGCTTAATGGAGGGAAGCAAGTACAGCCGTGCAAAGATAGTTCATGGGTCAACCGCAACACACAATAGGAAAGCATATCCTAATAAAAGTGCAATCGTACATATCTTTACAATAAACAAGTATAAAGTGGTACAAGCCATATAGTTGTCTCCACGTGGACCATGCAAGAAACCGGTTAGAACCATAGACCGATGTACCCCCAAATGCCTATAAAAGTCAAGCATCACCATAGGAAACGAAAGAACTTTCTCATCTCCAACAAATTTATTATGTTCCTAATTGACATATGAGAGCAATACTGGGAGCATCCCCAGGTATTACTTTCTTACCTATTATTTGTCTACCTTATATAGCGTGTCTTCTAGATTGCGCATTAGACATGGAAATCTATTAACCAAATATTTTCCCATGAAAACCTTTGCCTTTGATTAAGCATATATATACCAAAATTAAAACAGATAAATAGAAGGCTAATATTCAATTAATACAATTGATATGGGCTACACAAATACATAAATATAAGGATCTGCTAACAACCTGCCCGTACTTGGAACGGGAGTAACAGTACGAACATTCAAACTAGATCAAAAATCCAAAAATAATGATGGGGGAAGAATCTTCGTGAAAATGTGAGCATATTAAGATTTGGAGGGAACATGAAGAACACACACATGACTAGTGACAACTCTGTCGCGAACAAAATGAAGATCTATCTCAATGTGTTTAGTACATTGATGTTGAACCAGAATGGAAAACATGAATGACGACATTGACATTCTCACATAAACAATAGTAGCATGATGCGGAGAGTAGTGTAGCTCAAGGAGATTGCGTATCCAACAAGTCTCAACAACTGCATTAGCAACTCCACTATATTCGGCTTCAGCACTAGAGCGAGAGATGGTGTTGTGTCATTTTGAAGGCCAACACAATAGATTGTGCCCTAAGTAAGCACAATAACCAGATGTAGAACGGCGAGATACCAGGCATCTAGTCCAATCTGATTCAGAGTAAACAATAATATCTCGATTAAGAGAGCTAGATATTTGAAGGCCATGATCATAAGTACATCGGATATATTTGAGGATGCGCTTAACAACAGTAAAATGAGGCTATCTGGGATCTTGCATGTAGAGACAAATTTATTGAACAACATATGCAATGTCAGGTCTTATGAAAGTTAAATATTATAAACCATCAGTAAGACGGCGATATAGAGTAGGATCTACAACAGGAGGACCATAACCATTAAATTTAGCAGGCAAGTCAGCTGGAGTAGAGGGAGGTTTACAATTGAGCATGGAAGCATGAGCTAATATTTCACTAGCATATTTTTGTTGAGATAAAAAGAGACTATCGGTAGTTCGGGTAGCAGAGATACCCAAGAAATAATGTAAGTCACCAAGATCCATCATAGCTAATTCAGATCCAAGAATCGAGATAATGTGTGAGAAATGTTAAGAAGAAGAGTCAGTAAGAACTATATCATCCACTTAAAAAAGTAAATAAGTAGTGTGTTGGCTCTATCTATAGATAAATAAAGAAGAAACATGCTTGTTGTTAGTGAACCTAAAGCGAGTAATAAGCATAGTAAAGTGATGAAACCAAGTGCTTGGATCTTGTTTGAGACCATATAAAGAACGTTGTAGTAAACACACATGATAAGGTTTAGAAGAATCATGAAACCTTGGTGATGGTTGAATATAAACTGTCTCATGTAAATGACCGTGATATAAAGCATTCTTCACATCAAGCTGAAAAATAGGCCACTTATGCATGATATCAATGCTCAAAACAATATGAATAGTGGTTGGTTTGACAACAGGACTAAACATCTTGTCACAATCAATACCCAGTGTCTGAGTACGCTTGTTATCAACAATTATAGTTTTATAGTGAGCTAGAGTTCCATCCACATCTTTTTTAAAATCCAGATGCAAATAATGACATTAGCATCAGGTGTGTACGGAGCAAGAATCCATGTATTGTTTGAAATAAGAGTAGAGAATTCCTCTTGCATTACTTTACGCTAATGAGGGTCCTAAAACACCTGTAAAGTAGGTACGAGGAATAAGAGAGGAAGTGTCCACATAGAGATTGAGTTTTTGGAGTGGTTTCTTTATACCCTTTTTTCCACGAGTAAGCATGGGGTGATAAGAAAAACTAGGTGGGTGGTGATGGGTTTTGAGTATTCTAACACTCCTATGGTGTACACGCAACGCTAGAAACCTTGTATCTATGTTTTCTCTATTATACATGCAAACCTTTTTTCCCCAAGGTTTTCATCCTAACTAACATATTATGGGGTATATGTACTACAAAACTTAGTATAATGACATACCTTTCTTGTAGCTTGGATTCCTTAAGACCTTGTGAGCCTAGCACCCCAAATGTGATGCCTCAAATGCTTCACACAAGACCACAACTCTTGGAATAAGTTTATAGAAGAACACTTGTGCACAAAATTTGGCTAGCCCTCACCCTTATGTCTTAGTGCCGATTTTACTTGCTATGAGGTCCTTTATATATTCTGTCACATGTAGGGTTACACCATCAAAACCCTAATGTGCATGACTTTTCATTTCCTCCATGATACATGGGTGGTAACCTCCATGGAGCATCCATGGATCACCCTATGGGTTCTAGCCCATTCTAATAAATCATGGATCATAAGCCCACTATATAAGAATGAATGATTTACGAAATCAATCCCCATATATTCAATTAGTCTCTTTTTTATCTCAAAATTAAATCCAAATTAACTCTTGATCAATACTAATTAAATAATATGATTTCATATTAATTTATTAGAGTTTATAATATATTAACAAATCATAAGTGTCCTTTTTTCTCATTTTGTCTATCCAATTGTCACGATGCCATGCAACCCAAATGGACCATGCCAAGTCGGGTCAAGTACATACCAAATATAGTTATGGACTTAGACACCTTATCCGATAGTCTCCCACTTGGATAAGTCTAATAACTATAGCTACAAGTACGACTTCAGGATCCGACCAACAATTGTAGTTCTTTCAAACTCTAGTAGAACTAAGATGATGCGCTATTTAAGATAAGTGACCATATAATCTTATGTTTGAGATATTAGCC